CCGCCGCAGCTGCCACGGGGATGTTTGCCCCCGCGTCCTCGTCCCCGCACGCGCCGCCACCCTCGATCCGCGCCCCCTGCTCCCACGCCGCAACCGCGGCCTCAACGACCCCCGGTAGCAGCCCCGGCGGCATCCGCTCGTACGGCGTCGCCGAGCAAAGCACGCACAGCGCGCGCAGCGCGGCCGCCGCCACGGCGGGCGGCTGCGCCGACGGCGCACCCGTGCCGCCGCCTTGCCCGCTGCCGGCGCGGCCGCAGAGGGGCGCGATGCCGCAGTCCGCGCCGCAGGCCGCCGCGGCCAGTCCGAGGTGCAACGCCAAGAGCGTCTGCCCAAGGGAAGCTGATAGTGTCGTGAATCCCCTCGGCTGCGCCGCCGCCCGCCCAGCGCTGACGCCGCCGCCACCGGCCCCGCCCACGGGCGCGCCCCGCGCCTCCGCGACCGCCAGCAGCGCGCGCGCCTGCGGCCCCTGCAGCAGCGCCGCCGCGACCGCCGCCGCCAGCGCGCGTACGCGCGGGGACGGGTCGTGCAGCAGCACGGTCAGCAGGTGCGGCGACAGCGGCCGCGGCGCCAGCGGCGCGCCGGCCGCCGACGCGGGCAGGATGCTCGGCCAGTGCGGGTGCAGCGCAGGGGGGTCTGCTTGCGCCATTGCCTGCAGCAGCAGCAGCGCCGCCAGGCGCACGCGCAGCGCCGCCGCCTCAAAGGGGTCGCCAGAACCATCAGCAGGCTCTCGCGCCCCCCGCCCGCCGCCGCCGCGCCAGGCCAGCAGGGGCCGCCCGCCCTCCGCGTCGCTCCAGCCGCCATCGCTCTCGCTGGCGCTCGCGTCGCCATCGTCATCCCAGGATGCCCGCTGGCCGCGCCGCGGCGGGCCCTGCTGCTGCTGCTGCTGCTCCTGCTGTTGTTGCTGCCGCTGCTGCTGCCGAGGCGGCGTCCCAGGCGCCTCGAGAGACGCCTGCGCTTGCGCCGGCGCGAGGCTGGCGGCAGGCTGGTTGGCGCTGCCGGCCGCCATGCTTCCGCCGCCCTTCGAGCGGAGGTGGGGCGGGACATAGCGCACCGCCCCGCCGCCGCCGCCCTCGCCCAACGCCCCGGGCTGCGGCGGCGCCCGCGCCGGGGCGCCGCTCGCCGCTGCCTGCGGCGACGGCGGCGCCGATCGCAGGGCCCCCGTCTTGCCGGCTGGCGACGCGGGCGCGGAAGGCGCGACGGGCGGGGCGGGCGCGGAGGCGGCCGGGTGTGCCCCATACTGCAGCAGCCGCCTCAGCGCCTCGCAGACCGCGCCCGCGTGCTGGCCCCACCCCTTGCGGCTAGCGGCCACCGCCGCCGTGCAGCTGCGGAGCAGCTGCCCGTACAGCCGCGCGTGCCGCACGTCCTCCACCGGCCTCTTGCCGCTGCTGCGGCCGCCGGCGAAAGCTGCGCCGCCGCCGCTGCAGCACACGGTGAGCGCGTTTACCAAGGCGCGCAGCGCCGCCGCAAGCTCCTGGTCCGTCAGCTTGCTGCCGTTACTGCTGCTGCTGCTGCTGCTGCTGCCGCCAGGACCCGTGCTACTGCCGCCGGCCTCGGCTTTGCAGAGCGTCCCAAGGATGGCGGCTGCCTGCCGCTGCACATCCGCCGGGGCGGCCTGCGACGCAGCGGGTGCAGAAGCGCCGCGGGCGGCCGGCGCGGGCGCCGTCGCCGGCGCCGGCAGCAGCGCCGCGAGCGCCGCGAGCAGCGCCGCGCGCTCCGCAGGCGCGAGGCGCTGCATGTGGCGCGGCAGCAGCTCCGCCGCCGCCGAGAGCGCGTCGGACTGCAGGCGCTCGGCGGGGCCCGGCGCGGCGGCCGCGCCGCCCGGCCTGTCCTGCAAGTCCAGGTCGAGCCACTGCCGCAGGGATGAGGAGATGCAGGACACCGCCTGCGGCGCCAGCTGCAGCTGCTGCTGGCTGCGGAGGACCGACGCCAGCAGGCGGCAGAAGCTAGCCGAGGCCGCGGCCGCTGCAGTGGGGGCCGCGTCCGGCGACCCCGGGGCGACATTGCCGCTGCCGCCGCTGCTGGTTGCTGAGCCCAGACGCTGCGCCAGCATCGCCAGGTCGCCAGACACCTGCACATTATCCCAAGGAGGCACCGCTCGCGTTGAAAGCATGCCCGATGGCAGCCGCATCGCATGCAGCAGGCGCAGCATGCACGTGACGACGCACCTCGTGCGACGGCAGCTGGGCAGGGATCCCCTGGGCCAGCGCGGCGTCCATCATACTGTGCACTCGGTCCATATCCAGCAGGCCCTGGTTGCCGAGCTCCTGCGGTCGCCATCATATATTGTGCAAGGCTGTGCATAAGATCGCACTAAGCGCTCCAACATGGCCCCCAATTGGGTCAGAGAGTCAAGCTTGCGGTTAAGATTGTTGTGCGCTGATGCTGCTTGCCTGGCGGAGGGGCCCCACTAGATCGCGCCAACTTTGAGACGTGCTTCTCCATCCCATCCTGCAGCTTCACGCCACCAGATAGCAGCAAATTGTAACACTATATTGCCATGCCGCGCCGCCGTTTAGTGTATGACAACCGGGTGCGAGGCAATGTTTGCCCCGCACCGACGACGGATGAGTCGGGCCAGCACAGCATGGTGAGCGCACGACGCTCGGCGCACAGCACAGTCCGTTACACGTAAAAGTTCATGTATTTACCCTACGATTCCAAGGTAATTGAGGTATACTTTTATTTACCCTACTACGACTCCTAAGTAGTTGAGGTATACTTTTATTACCCCCTATGAGAAGCAGTTGAATCCCGAGCGGCAGCTGCACCAGCGGGCCGCAGCGCTTGTGCGGAGGGAATGGGGTGCCGATGGCGCGCGCATACGGGTCGCGCCGCCAGCAAGACATACAGTCCGACAACCAGGCTCTCCAAGGAATCCAGGCAGCGCAGAAGCCGTCAATGTGGCATCATCTGGGTATGAGGTAACCTGAGCTGCCGGAAACCGTTGCCTGCGCCTTCGCAACAAGCCAATCGGTGCGCAACGTCATGGACTGCCGTTGCTGAGTGGGCACCCCACGCAGACCTGCCTGGCTGAGTGGCAGGGGTATGACAGGAATGGCGTGGTGTGGCAGGAGGGCCTGAGACTTCCCGTGAGGCTTGCTCGCTGGCGCGCAGGTGTAGGTGCAGTGCCACTCGAAGGCAGCAGGACAGCGCAGACGGCTTCAGCCACAGCTGCGCTGCAGGAGTGCTCTCCGGCCCGTTTACAAGCCGCGACAGGAGCCTTGAGCGTGTTATGGGTCTCCTCAAGGCTGTCCGTTTTCTGCCCCTGCGGATTTCGCATGCGATGCTTCCAGGACGCTGCGCATTCACGACCTTGGAGAGTGCTGCCAACGTGCGGCGTTTGGCAATGTGACTGCGGCTGCGACAGCAGGAGCCTTGAGGCAGCACGAGCGCTACGTAGCACTGACGATTGACGATGATACGCCGCAACGTGCGCATGACACGCACCGCACTGGACTGCCTGCCCAGCGCAGAGCGGCTGCAGCTTAGTGCAGTCCAGGCAGGATGGCGACCTGGGCCCGACAATGGTCGTTCTCAAGAAATGACACCAACATTGAAGACTGGCATGCAGCTGTCTTGCTTGTCATGATTGTTGGCTACATGGATGATGCATTTCATGGAGGGGTCGTCGTGTGGGAGGAGTGACACGCCGGCGCTGCAACGAGCCATGGGCCACAGGTGGTGTGAATTGGCATGAGCACGGCGCGGACGCTGCGTCAGCGGTGGTCGGGCAAAGATATTTCGGAGTCGGGCACACCAAGAAAGCGGGTCTGTGCAGGGAGATGGGGTTTTTCTGCGGGGCCGACCACCACGGATGGAGGGCGCTGGGCCCCACTGCTTTGGCCTGCCTGCAATGCTGGGAGCGCATCACCCTGACAATGCGAATCATGGCTTCTGTTCATGTCACCCGGGTTACCAAACCAGCCCGGATATCTCATTGGCTTAGCTTTGTGCAGCTCATACTTACATATTAGTTCCCGCAACCGTATCAACCACGACCGAGCGTTACCTTCGAATCTGACCGCAGCTCAACTTCTGCCCCGTGCTTGCTTGTCGTCAGGTGAGCGCAACACAGAGCGTCCTCAAGAAACCAGCTTTCACGACGCCTCTCATGCATGCCTGCTGCGCTTGGTCTCGCCGGCCACCGGCCCTCGCCAGCCACGCCGCACCCGCCCCTTGTCACGCCTGGAGCTCGCCCGCACCCCCCTCGCGCGCCGCTGCTGCCGCTGTCTCAACCCCCGCCCTCCCCCGCATTCAACTCCCACCTGCGGCAGGCGAACAGACATGACTCGCCTCGTCAGGGTCGATGAGCAGCGCGCCCTCGCCATCGGCGTCGTGATCGGCTGGGTCATCCACGCGACCCAGCCCCGCATCAAGGCCGGCCTCGGCCGCATCGGCAGCGGCATCAAGACCATCTTCGGCATCAAGTAATGCACCAGATCACGCGCCGTCACGGCGACAGGCGGGGCAGCTGCGGGGGCAGAGTTCGCGCCCGGGCCGCTGCGCCCCCAACCCCACACCCCTCCTGCCTTGCGAGCCCACAGCCGGCGGTGCTGCGCGGCGGTGCTTTCAGTACTGCTGTTTGCGCTCCACTGCGGCGGCGCGTCTGCATGGCAGGCCGTGGCCTCGGCAGCAACAAGGTGGTCAGGCTTGATCGATAGAGCATGCATAATCAGGGGTGAGCGCTCTCGTAGAGACGCCAAAACACAGCACGTATGGCTGTGTTTTGGGCCCCGCCTTCACCTGCATCTCTGCAACACAAATATCACATCTCTGTAACACAAACATGACACTGCCGTTTCAGAAGAGTCACTTACAGTCAGGAGAATGAGCGGCAGGGCTGCACGGGCGGGGCGCGGGTGGCCGTGACATGCCCCCTTGGGTGTGCTGCCTGCTGCGGGGCCCTGGGTGACCGGGTGGCAGCAGGGCAAGAGGGAACGCAACTTCGACACTCTCAGCATCAATTTGGCGTGATCTGCGCCAGGGTGGGTGGGTGTGAGGTCCTGCAGGGGGTTAGGACAGCTGGCCACCACATGAGCGCCCGCAGCAGGGACTGATGTAACGGGCTTGCTTGGGCGTGCCTGTTGCCTGCTCGACGTGTTACTCTTCACCAAAATTGTAGAATTCTACAATTTTGGTGAAGAGTTACAAATTACAGGCCCCACAGCGTATGCCAGGGATGACTCAAGCACCTGTCATGCGATGGCGGTCTTGCGTAGGTGGATGGGTGCGCTTGGTGCCGAACAGGAGGGTGGCAACCCACTGCCGTTTGCCACCATTGAAAAATCTCTGGCTGGTTGGAGAACCACCAGAATGAAGAGGCGTGGCAGTCGCAGCCAGGCCTGCTAATCCCCAATGCCTTTGAGCAACACACAAAGCACATCGAGGAATGACGTCACATGTACACAAAACAGCAGCCACCACCGAGCAAACTAGACAGATGCTGCCAAGGGAACGCCGTCGTCTCGTCAACCTCAAGCAAGCAGAGGCTCTTCGGCTTCCTCCCCTCCTCCCCCGCCGCCGCCGCCGCCGCCGCTGCGGCTGCCGCGCTTGCCTCCGCCCCAGCCCCACCCGCCGCCGCCGCCGCCGCCCGCCGGGCCATCCCCGAGGTCGGGCGTGCTCCTGATGCTCGACTGGGACCGCACCAGATCCCGAGATCTCTCCACCTGCCCCTCCCAATCCTGGAGAGCTGTGATCAGCGACAGGGCGAGCAGCTGCACCACAGACCCCGCGGCCAGGCCGATCCACATGCCGGGGACGCCCCTGCGGAACCGCAGCGCCATGGCGGCGGCGAGGGGGATGCCGCAGCCCCAATAGGCGGCGGCGTTGATGGCAAAGCCGGCGCGCTGTCGGCCGCAGCCGCGGAGGGCGCCGCACATGACGGTCTGCGCGGTGGGGGCGGGGGGAGCGTTTCGTTGCGGGCTGGGATGTGTGTGTGTGTGTGTGTGTGTGCGCGTGCGTGCGCGTGCGTGCGTGCATGCGTGCGTGCGTGCGTGTGGGGGGTTGAGGGGATGGTGTGTGTGTGTGCGTGTTGTGTGTGTGTGTGTGTGTGTGTTGTGCGTGTTGTGTGTTTGTGCATGTGTGTGTGTG